TTAATGTTTGTCTTGAATGTGATGATCATATCATAAACCATATTGTAATTTGGCACACAATGTAATAAACATTGATTTTGATTACGATATTAATTATAGACCAAAAATAAGTATTCATTTCCAAACAGTTTTTTAATATTTGTATTAATTATGAAACAAAAATGTACCGGTAAATGTGTACCTAGCTGTCCAGATGTATATCTAATAAATCTGTTACCCAACCATTCAATGTGTATTATCCCCTAATATGATTGTAGTTAATTTTTTAATGCCAATAAAATTTTAATTACTATTACAATTATGACATGACAATCATTATAAATGAATAATTTAATAAATTAATTTAAAAAATTAATAATTTTGAACATTTTCATGAATGAAATGTCAATGTATTGTATGCGTAAAAACATGTGTAAAACACGTGACCCACACACTGTTGACAATTGGTTTGAAAATTACATTGCTGTTTTTGGTATTATAACCACAGTTGATTATGCTGGACAATTTATGCCAACTATCTGTCAACCATATCGTGTATCATTTAAATGTCACTCAAGAATCTCTTGTCGCTCAAGAAGTACTGTTTTCTGAAGCAAACCAACGGATCAAATGTCTTAACGCCGTTAACACAACAAATCAAACAAAACATCGCTTTTGAATGGTTAAGACATTTGCTTTCATAGTCATTAAGATTTGATTGATAAATATCTCATGTTTTATAGGATTAAAAGTATCCAAAGGATACCATCAGTTGAGGTGTTTGTCACTCCAGTGATCACATACTCGGAACCCATTCATGACAACCAAAGCCAGTCACAACTGAAATGTAAATTAAGTCTCTTTTATGTGTCATTTGCTAATCAAATCAATTGCTGTACTAATTGTTTGCTTTATTTATAGCTATTTTAGATAATTATAGTAATTATTATCGGGATTGGAGTGAAGGCATCACTCAATCCTTTGGTATTATTCAGCGTTTTATTAGCATTAGAGACAAGAAATCACATAATTTTTTGTGAGTTTAAATTGTTGTCACTTATGCTATAAGTTTTCATTAAATTCACATTTCATTGCCAAACACTAGTGAATCAAAAACCAAAGATTGTCTCAATTTTGCATTTTTAAGTCGAGAACATGAAAGTCTGTATTGGTTTCAAAAGCTACAGGGAAGTCATTATCAATGGTTCAGAAATGTATGCCTTGTTAAGAAGTAGCCTGTTAATTATATGTATAATTAAAACAAAGTTTATAACTCTGCTTAAATTGTGTCAACTTTCAACAGTTATCGATATATCCGTTAAAATCCAAGTTTTGTTTCCAATTGGATGAAAATAGTGGCCAAAAATGTGGCGTTCATTACAAGACCGATGATATGAATTTACAATTAGAGACAATTGAACGCATCTGTTATACATCACCGGATAAGACACGGTTGGGATTAACCGATTGCGATGTCATCCTTTGTAATATAGATTTAGACAACTCGTTGGTCGCCATTCTCAGGGATGCCTTCACTACAAAAGTCTATAAAAATGGCAAATCCGTAAAAGTATGTCATGAATCTATAATTAAATTAAAAGTTATTCATTCAAATGTGATTTTAATTGCAATTATTTGTGTGTAGAAAATGAAATTTCACTCATCATTAGCGCCGTTCAAAGTAGGCATCGCTTTCAGAGATGATGTTATAATAAACGAGGCTTTAATGGATTTAACCAATCATTTAATACAATCGCTGAGACTCTTTGACATACCTGTGCTGCCGTTTACGCCAAACAAATTGGTATCAATCGAGCAGTGAGTTTACAATTGATTTACAAATGAATTTAAGAAATGAAAAATATATTTGCTTTATTTAAAGTTACGACGAGTTAGGCATTCCCTACACTATCATCCTGGACAACGAGAGCCCCAAAATGGGTGCCGTTCAGCTGAGGTATAGGGACTCAGACACCGAGGTATGACTAAACATTTCGCATCACTTTAATAGTCATTAATTTTATTTATGATTTAATTATCAAAATTACAATTAAAAACATGAAATGAAATACAATTTGCAGGAAAGCGTTCACATCTCACGACTGCAACAAACTCTATGCCTATATCTCAATGTTATCCATCCGTCGATTATTCGTAATAAATATTAATTAATATAAAGAATTAAATATATTTTTTGGGTACTGTTTTCGTACAGACTATTTATATGATAGTTTAAAATAATGTTTTTAAAAACTTTAAGCCTTTTAATAATCAATGCGTTTAAGAAATTTTATAATAAATAGTTTTATGCGCGACTACTGATAGGGCACTGATATATCTTGAGTCCAAATTACACAATGATTGACAGCATATATCTCTGGCCATAAGTTGTGAGAATGAATGGGCGGACGCACACACATGTATGGGACAGACACCTAATACTGAACACAAATGGTCGGGTCGTTGGGTAGACCGCAGCCGATGATACGCGAGTCAAACGCCAATTTGACCGGACATTCAAACGAGTGAAGTGTGAATTTGTTGATGAATTTATCCCAATAGCACTCATAGTATTTGTTGCAGTCGTATGGGTGCTGGAAAAGGCCGGCCCGAGTGCAGGCCGACTCCGGCACTGAACCGTCGGTGATATTCCTGAGACCCGGGTATGAGTTTGTGCCGTAAATGCTCTGCAAATTGTTTTGGATTCTTGTGGGCAGAGTTGCGATCAATGGTTTATCTTTATTGAGCTGATCCGCGGCACTGATCTCCGGCTCGTCTTCGTATTCAATATCTTTAATTATCTGGTGTTCGACTGCCGGTGCTCTCTGTGGCTCTTCTGGTTCTGCGAGTGAATCACAAGAATTAGATGAAAATTATCGTCAAATCATTCAATACTTACTTTGATGTTTAGGTGGGGACTCGTAATGTTGACGGACATCTGGCACAACCTTTGGTACCGGTGCTGGCGTCTGGACCTGTATTTTCTGCGGTATTACCGGCGGTTTGACGCCATTCCTGAACCCATACCTACCATCCTGTGTGTCGACCGGTTTCTGATTAACAGTCGAGTATTGGGTTTGTCTGACATCTTCTTTATATCCGTCGATATAAACTACTTTAACGTCCGGCTGATCAGAAATACCAGAGGTTTGGTGTTCCCCCGAAATGGGTTTCCTTGTGATGGCCACTTCCTGTCCCTTTTCGTTATCCACAATAAACACCTGAATCTGTGGCTTATTTTCTTCTTGCGGTCGCGCCCTCTGTATATCAATGGGACTGTCGGTCGGCATTTCGGTGATGGCTTCGGTGGTTACGGGAACTGTAGTTGTTTTGGGTCTTCTGGTAGTTGTCGTCCTCTTTGCAAACGAAGGCCTATTTCTCACGCGGGGAACCGTTCGCTGAGTTGTGGTTATGATGACTACCGGTGCCGGACTTTCTGTGGTTGTGGTGGTAGTACTGGCGGTTGTGATGGGAGAGGGCGGTGAGCTCTCGTCGACTACCGGCGCGTTATTATTCTGAATATTGAAGTCATTGGCGTAGAAGTCGTACCAATTATTTGCGGTGAGGTTTGGATTCAGGAACTGTGGCTGAAACGAGTGGGACGGCTGTTGTTGCTGTATATTAGGTCCCGGAAAGCCGAATCCGTTTTGCATGGGATAGTAGGGATTCATTGGTATCTGGGGGTAAGCATTCAGCTGCTGGTAAGGGTTAACAGGGGCCGGGTATGCGGGCATCACCTGTTGATACCAGGGCAGCGAGTTCTGTGGCCAAGACATGCCATTCGTGTGATTATTGGCATTATTGTAGGTGTTGTAGAGCGGGATGTGCTCTAAAATGACCGATGATTGCGAGGTTACCGGGGCTGCTGTAGTGGTGGTGGCCTCTGATGCAGGCAGTGGGTTGGGGGTATGTCCGGGTTGGGGGTGAACCCATTGGTTCTGTTGGTTCTGAGCAATCAGTTTCTGGATCGAGTCATAAATGGATGCCTGAAGTGGGAGTTTCCCGCTATCGGCCGACCCTTGGATTTGGTACAACCCGTGATCGGCGCCCGAAAAGGTTTGGTGCGTAACAGCTATTATCGGCTGAGCAGTAGTCGACTCCTGTCTCTGACCGTATTGAGTGGGGTATTCATTGCGGATCACTTGATATGAGGGCAGATTGGGATACATGGGCTGAGCGTATGGCGCCGATAGCCATTCGTCCTTCACTTTCTGGACAATGGTCTGGAAGACGTCCGATTTGGGTCGGGGTATCTCAAACTTGATGACAACGGGAGGTTGTGTCACATTAAAGGACACCAACTTGGGTACCACCGACTCGTAGAGGATTGGGCGTTGAGTGGTAGCCGTTTTGGGCACCAGTGCTACCAATGTTTTAGAGCTCTCGGTCTCCAACACCTGTTGATACCAGGGCAGCGAGTTCTGTGGCCAAGACATGCCATTCGTGTGATTATTGGCATTATTGTAGGTGTTGTAGAGCGGGATGTGCTCTAAAATGACCGATGATTGCGAGGTTACCGGGACTGCTGTAGTGGTGGTGGCCTCTGATGCAGGCAGTGGGTTGGGGGTATGTCCGGGTTGGGGGTGAACCCATTGGTTCTGTTGGTTCTGAGCAATCAGTTTCTGAATCGAGTCATAAATGGATGCCTGAAGTGGGAGTTTCCCGCTATCGGCCGACCCTTGGATTTGGTACAACCCATGATCGGCGCCCGAAAAGGTTTGGTGCGTAACAGCTATTATCGGCTGAGCAGTAGTCGACTCCTGTCTCTGACCGTATTGAGCGGGGTATTCATTGCGGATCACTTGATATGAGGGCAGATTGGGATACATGGGCTGAGCGTATGGCGCCGACAGCCATTCGTCTTTCACTTTCTGGACAATGGTCTGGAAGACGTCCGATTTGGGTCGGGGTATCTCAAACTTGATAACAACGGGAGGTTGTGTCACATTAAAGGACACCAACTTGGGTACCACCGACTCGTAGAGGATTGGGCGTTGAGTGGTAGCCGTTTTGGGCACCAGTGCTACCAATGTTTTAGAGCTCTCGGTCTCCAAGTTATAGAGCTTTCCATCAGTTTTCTTGAATATCTCTCTAATGGGCGCCGTATGACTGCCTGAGCCGTCGGTGCCATTGGCCAGTAGGTTGTGATCGTTGTTCAACATTAACATAATGTACTCTTCATTGTGGGGATCAATGGCCGGCCCTAATGTCGATGCAGAGGCCGGTGCCGAAAATATGACTCGGGGCCGGGCTGTTGTCTGAGGCTTGTTATCGACAGGAACTCCGTTCGGGAAGATCTTCGGATAGTCTTTGGCGATCTGATCCAAGTTGGAGTACTTGTGCTGCTCGTACTCATCGGACACCGGGATTAGCAACAGTTGTGACTTGTCTGGCTGAGCGCCGGTAACTTCTGGTGATTTATGTGCCGGTGCCTTATGGCGTACGTCTTGAGCGGAACTAATTTTGTTGGCATTAATCTTGTGGTGCGGATGGCGTTGAGGATATCGACTGCTAGAGTAGTGTTCGTTAATTGTGGCCGAAGTGTCCAACTGTTCCGTCGGTTTTTTATGGCGAATCTGTGGTGAAGAGTATTCTTCGGGAACAACTCTTTGCTTATTTGCTGAATCTTTAACTCGTTTGTCATTAAATTCATTGATTGGTCTTTGTTTTGGTACATTATATACTGGACCACCAGTTCCTGATGGCAGCGGTTTTTCCTTTTGAGTATTTGCAGTGATTTTTGTCGATTCAAAGTCTGGAATATTCGGTAAATACAGGACTTGTTGTGGATTTGAATCGATATCTTGAGGCCAACCTATGTGTTGTGGCCTTATATCCAATGGCTGTTCAATGAATCTATTATTTTGTGGTAAATGTTGAGGTCTTTGCTGTTGTTGTGGTTGGGGTTGTGGTTTGTATTGCATTTGATGATCGGATTCTGGTTTGTGTTTCATCTGTGGATTCACTTCATAGTGAATAGGCTTTTGAGTGGGATTTTTGTGTTGATATCTCTCGGGTTCTCTTTGATGATGGACTGGTTGTCGACTATTGTGATGACTATTTTGTTGGGGAACTCTTGGCTTATCCCTCTGACTATTATTGTGAACCATTGGCTTCACTACTGGAGGCATTTGAGCTCCGGTAGGCAATGGATTCTGGATTGGATGTAAATCTGGTATCTTATAGTTTTCTGATGAAAACTTCAGCCATTCATCCATATCTATGCTATCTTTGCTTTTCGGTGAATCCCTGACCGGATTAGGCTTTTGAACCGGCGATGGCTTAACGTTATCTTTATTCACATTAATCTTAATCTCTTTCTTAGGATTATTGGCGAAATGAATAGTTTGTATTTCGCTTTTGTGGTCACTTTCTGAGAGGGAATACTTGAATGAATCCAACAGTTTTTGGTCAATATTATGGAAACTGATCTCCGATTCTCCCAAACCATTATTCTTATCGTTACCGCCGATGGATGGCTTAATTGGCTTTTGTTTATTATCTTTACCTCTCGATGACTGTTCGGGCGATGGTTTGAATTCCTGTTTGATTTGATCTAAATTGAGATCTTCGGGCGAGAAGTGAAGGATCTCTTTCTGGATATTAATGGCACCGAAGTTTCTCTGATCTTGGGAATTGGTTTTTCTATATCCGGGAATGGGATTCAGTGGTATTTGATGGGGAATGTATTGAGGAATAGATTCAAGTTCTTCGAGGGTCTGGATCAGCAATGGTTCGGCGGATGGGAAGTGAAATTTAGACTTCAAGTGCGATGTCTTACCGCTGGACTGGTATTGCTTCTGAGGTCTTCGGGATGGCTTTATTGGCAAATCAATGCCTCCTTTGATAGCATTTTGTGTCACTTTCACAGAATTGGATGGCATTCCCAACGGTTCCCTCGACTTTTCGTTATTGCGGTTACGATTCTTCGAGTTTCTCAACGGAATAATGTCGTGAAGTTTCTGAACAGTCTTCGTGATGGCCG